GAGCTGCTGCTGAGACATGATATATTCAAAAGGCAGATACTTTATCAAATCATACATTTTTGTTAAACTTCCAACACCGTGAATAAAAGTTCCCACTGAACTAAACTGAATGAGATTCCAATCATGAGATACTGACTTTAAGGCTCACTTTGCTCACAGTCAAATTAAGGTCTGTGAGTGAAAAACGCTTCCTCAGAAAGGCAATTCCTGTATCAGGTCATAAATGCTGAGTAAAATATGGCCAAAACAGGATGACCAACACACAGAATTCTTCTACCACCATCACTTGGTCTATAACAGCTCAGGAAGCAGATACTGAAAAACATCAGTCAACTCCAGAGAGTTAGCTCAGTAATATCTTAAACAGAAGAGTGATATCTCCCAAGTGACCTGTCCCACTAAATTTTTTCCTTTGCTTTTCTAGAGAAGCATTCCACAAAGCACTTATCTAGCACAGCTGGGTAGGATAAAATACGATATCGATAAGATACAAATAAACTTGAATTTTAAGATCAAAGCTTTAGTTTGACAGTTCATTTTTTTAGCTGTTATAAATAACTGAAGCTGCTTTTCCTTTTTTTAAATAGGAGCAGAGGGACAATGAGCAATAAAGATTATTTCAGTACTTGCTAGAGGGAATCCTTTAAGGTTAGCCATTTTTACCTACAGGTCTCTTATCGCAGAGATGGAAACTCATTCTATTTTGAGGGCTTCCTATTTCAAGGACTAAGCTAAAATACAGGCTTGCAACTGCCTTTGCCACTAGTGTCCGGGTTTATTCAGACTGCTGGGAAAGAAACAAGATCCTATGACATTTTTCATCTTCAAAAGTATCTTTGTTGGTTTTGGAGATACCTGAAAGAAATGCTAATGAACAACAGTTTTACAACTCACTCTCCTTTCCAACACAACCACTGTGCTTTGAAAGCAACCCTAAGAGGCTTTTCTAGTAAACTGTCACTCGATGCATAACAACGAGTAGTGAGCTCATCTTCCCCTAAGTGGGACATGGGATGCTTAACCATGGGATGTTTTCAAAGCAGTATTAAACTTTTAAAGACATAAAATTTTCTCCTGGTGTGAGAAGTTGCAGCCTGATAGCAGCTGCAGACTTTGAACTGAAATGCACCCAGCTGGAACTTTGGCAGAAAGAGATGCAATGATTAATTCACATCTGCAGCAATGTATAGCTGCAAACAGAAGAGGCCATAGTGCTGGTTGGAGACAATCATAGCACTGTGAGGCACTGTTTTTATTTACAATCTCCTCTAAGATTAAATATTAAGAACATATGCAGAAGCACTACTTAACCCTATGGCTCTTGCTACATTTGGCCCACATCAGATGAAACCAACAAATGACTAAAGCCCGTACACCCTTACAGCCCATTTACACTCCCTTTGATGTCAGCGGCATATGTGCCTTGTTCTGGGTACAGGGAAAGAAGTTTCACGTCCAGCAGTTTCTCTCAATTTCATTTAAATACTTCTGACTGTATTACTGCTTTCTGACAAAGAGTTGTCTCGTATTCAGTGTTCCTTCCTACAAATGCAGTACACTGATAACAAATTACTGCCCAATTTTTCTTTTGGTAATAGTTCAGTAGTGTCTGCTTAACTACCACTCAGACCACCAGAAAAAGAAACCTGGAAATATAGTCCAGGGACCACTCTCCAGCAAATACAGGATCTCAGCTTGAACGCAGTATTGTGCAGACTGGACAGGGCTGGGACAAGGCCTCCACATCGATAGAAACCAGTTTGATCTGTGAGCTGGGGGAAGTTAATAGGGGAGCCATAATATTCTAGTTTCCCTTTACAGTTAAGGAAAGGCAGTGCTTCCAAGGATGACCCAAATCTCAGGTGAGCGGAATTACCTTCTGGAAGTGTTTATCTTTCCCTGCAGACTATAAAAGAAGATAAGGGCAAGCAGACACCTTATTTAGGCACCTTTATTAAGAACCTAAAATTAGACAAGATTAATCTGGGCCATCTCCTTTTTTCACTCACAGTACACTGAGGGCAAATGCACTGAAATAGGTTTTCTACATGTCACTCATTGCCAAAAATCTGCAATAACTTTATCATACAAAGAATAATTATTTCATGTTTCTTTGTGACATCCACTAATTCTCTACCTTTGTTCTGTGACACTGTTTCCTTTCCTGCCTTCACTATCAGGTAATTCTTCAGGGCTGAAAGCTACTGCCATGCCAAGTATAAGCAGCTTCTCTGAATAAGCTGTTTCTTGTTAACATACAAAACTTATTTCACTTTCTACTTGGGGTTTTTCTCTGGTAATTGTTTTTCTCCATCTGTGCTTATTTTGCAACTAGTGAATAAAGGATGCTTTTCCAGTTCTGACTGGGACCACAAGGTAAACCAATCCATACACAATTCACGGTGTTGAGCTCTATTGCTATTTCTTTCTTTACTCTTAACATTTACACAGCATAATCCCAATATTGTACTTTAGAGACATTACTTTATAAGCAAAAAATAAGTATTATAAAGTAGTGCCATATCTTAAAATTCCCTGATATTTAGAAGGTGGCTAAATCAACACATCTAAAAGTCAAGCCCCCTTTATGCTATCTCAACAGAAAACTGTCAAGGCTGCTCACCTGGGGTATTTCAATCAAAAATGATCAAAACATTATTTTTACCATTTAACTTAGAAATATGATTTACACTGGCCTGTTCTAGTCCTTCCATGCGTTATAAGGTGATTTTGGGGAGACTGGCTGGCTTAATTAGCCACTACATTAGACCTCATGCTGGCAAAACATGAATATACTTTCTTCATCTGTTAGTGCCTAAAGTACTACTTGCACACCCTTTTGGCTCTTAAATAGAAAGTGTATCTGTATTCAGGCTTGTAGAGGTATAAAAATACAAAATTCTATTTACTTGAGTAAACATGGAATTAGAAATCTAAGTTTGGATCAGTGTTTAGTCTCTTGGCAATGGGACAAAGCTCTCAGTCTTGCATTGCTAGAGATGGATGAAAAATTTTTAGTTTGATTCAAAAATGAGTTTCGGGAGCAAGGAAAAATATTTGCAAGTTTCCAGTAGAATTCAGATGAGAGTTTCAAGCAAAAACAGAGATTATTTTTTTTCCAATGTCAAATCATTCATCCTCTGTATGAAAAATTTCCTTTAAAGTGCTCATGCTTTTCTTTCCCCCATTTATTTCAAAATTAAGCCTTGGCTTTTTCATTTGAAATACCATTTTCATTTTTAAATGGGCAGTTAAAAAATGAACAAAAGTTAACTGGAACACACAATTAAAGAAAAGTAATTTCCAAGTGAGATATGTGCAGCTGATCCAAAGTGAGTCTACCCTTTTTTGAATTTAACTGATATCAAGCAAAATGCCCATTCTTTCTAATTTCAGTCACAGAACAAAAATTCTGTTTACTTGCCTCTATATCATATAGAACAGAAGCAGGGTGCATTTAAGAGTATTAGAGCCTGTCAGAGGCTATCTTCCAAAGGAAAAAGGGATTACACTTTGTTCATTATTGACTTAATAGCAGCTGACAATTGTTACCTTACATGCATCATAGGCAAATGATATGTGAGCATCCAGGGTTCTCTCCAACCCCCCTATGAATTCTCTGCTTTTTGAAGAGAATGAAGGTGGTTCTCATTCACATAACCTTCAGCTATCATTGCAATATTTCCTTGCAATAACTCAGTTTTATGCTGAAAAAGTATAAATTGGATTTGGAAATGTTTGGACAAACTTTTGCTCTGACTGCTGAAATAAATGGAAGTTAGATGCAGAATTTCAATCCAGGAAAGAATTTTCCAGAAGTTTTAGGTTTTCTTGCCTAAAGTTTTTGCTCAGGACAATGTCTATTATTAGCTCTTTGCTTAAATTTAAACACTGGTATCTGGAATTAGCAGAACTCTTATGCCCCAGGCAACAGGATAACAAGCAGCTTCACCTAGCTTTATAATTACGGTGAATTAGAAACTCTCAAGAGATACCACACTGCAGTAACATCATACTGTGTGTGGTCATAGTTTTATGAATCAGCATGAAACTTAATCAAATGATGCCTGTGTTTTCAACATTTTCTTGATACTGCCAGTTATCTTCACATATCCATATCTTTCGTGTTCTACCTTGTTCCATCTCATTTTTCCTACTGATGAAGTTTGACTGTATTTGTAAAGAAAAAGCATTGTGTGGACCAAAATTTAGATGTCTGTTATACCAAAGAGCACAGTGACATACACAGGTCTAGAATAAAAATGGAGACCTAAATTGTTACCTAAAAAATTCAAATTATGGCAAGTAAGGTTTGCAACTTCAGAAAAATCTCTGAATAGATATGTGTAGGAATATTTTCTAAACTATAGCTACACCATAAACATTCATGATAGTTCTAAAAATAAAGGTTGCAGCTGGGACTGAGCTGAAAGATTGGAGAAAGCTTTTATTATTTTAGAAAACGGAAGATGCTTTAAGTAATCATAGAATCATAGAATCATAGAATCATAGAATGTTTTGGGTTGGAAGGGACCCCTAGAGGTCATCTAGTCCAACCCCCCTGCAGGAGCAGGGACACCGCTAACTAGATCAGGTTGCTCAGAGCCCCGTCCAACCTGGCCTTGAATGCTTCCAAACACATAAGCTAATGCTTAACTTGAAATCTGGAGTAGTCGCATCCACGTGGGTGGGTGGGGGGGAAGGGGGAAATCTTTTCCTAAAAAAAAAATCTTTTCTTTGACAAAATATTTGGGAACCAGTTTGTTTCAAGGTTGTGCCAGGGTTAAGTGATGTGTACTTAAGCTCTTTGTCCTACAGCTTTGTACAAGAGAATAGCAGAATTCAAAGTTAATCCAAAGACTTTTGCAAACATAAGTGCACAAGGGCAAGGACATTGAACGCTACATAGATCTCATGTTTAACAAAATTTAGATGTCAAAGTAGCCAGAACATGTGACTACCACATAAAATCCTAACTCATTTTCTAAAATTTTATTCAGCAAGCTCAGTTCTAGAAGGAGAAGAAAGTGCAAAAATTGATTTCAGAGACAGAAATGACACGGAATTTGAAGAATTAACAACCCTGGTGAGTATCATTCTAAATACAGGTTCCTTTAAGTTACCCTGCTTTCATATTCCTGGTATTGTCTTGTGGCTTAGATTTTGAATAATCATAAAGAATAACCTTGCATTCTAACACAAAAAGGATCTAACGCCAGTGCTTTTGCTTTGGAAGCAATCAGGTTGAAGGTGACAAAGTTTAAAGTTTATGGCAGTTCTGTACTGCAAAAAGCAATCATAACCTGCTTATTCACTGCCATTTGCCTCTTCAAATTCAGTATTGTTCCATTACCTTCAAACTGACAAACTAGTGTTGAAAAAAACAAAACTAAAAAAGGCAGGTCTGCAATATTCTGCAGTCCTCTCCTACACCTTCTGTAGTCCTGCTGGGAGGTCAGGTGATTTAGAAAGCCTCTAGCAGGGAAGACAAATTGGCTTACTTTTTTCTTTTTCTTTTTTGGTCACTGTACACAAGTCAAAGATGACAGGTGATGGCTAAAAAAGCATCACCAGGATACCTGACAGACCAAACAATTTAAATGCTTATTTCATACATTTAGACTGAATGTACTGAGGTTTTCTTTTCCCTCTTTTTCCCCTCCAACTCTTGTAGTTGCCTACAAGACTACACAATGTAACAAATCTCTTGCAGTTTGGACAACTGATGACCACAGAAAGTGCATTTGCTCAACCTGAAGACAGTCATAATTCTACTGGTTATGAAGTTCACCCAGAAAATGTTGATGGTAAAAACCCTTTCATTTCTATTTTATTATATCAACATTCTACTGCCAGCTACTAAACAATATCTGGAAAATTCAAATACCAAGCTTAAGGTGCACTCAATGGTAGCGTTGCTGATTTTTGAAAGGGAAAAGTAAGATTCCTTAAAATTACTCCTTAATACTCACTCAGCATCCTAACTTTGTAACAGATGTGTGCTGACACAAGGAATGAGTAGCTATGCCATTTTGTTCAGCAGTGCACTGCCAGTTCTACCCCAAGGCAGGCAATAACTCTCTGAAGCCTTCACTTTCTTTTCAGATTAGAGTGTAAAAATCAAACAGCTCTCCAGAAAAATTGGGGTTTTTTTTTGACCAATTCAAAGATCCTCAAATGCAGAAAACATAATTGATACAAACTGGCTGGCCTCTTGATTTTTGCCAAGTTGTCTCCCTTTGCTTCCCTGGAAAGACACAACTTACTGTTATGCACAGTTATGAAGCAGATTGCACCCACGTCCATCCAGTAGTCAATGAGCAACAGATTGCTGCAAAAGGTTGATAAAGTGCATTGTGACCTGTTTACCTTACGCCTGCTTAGCTGCCTTCCAGACAGCTTGCTTTTGCATCTGATGGTGTACAGAAGAATGTATGGGCACAAATAAATGGGCACATGCTCTGTATAGCGTCTTCTGGACCTGGATTGTTCTTAGCAGTTCACTCTTTTGCATACCCACAAAAAGTAAGAGAGCACAAGCATCGTAGTTTCTGCTCTGATATTCCAGTCCTGTAACAGTATCAATGACTGGTCGTAAGTTTAATGAATCTCACTTTAAAATGGTCAGATGAGCTTTTACGAGAAAAAGAAGTCTTTTTGTTTCCAACTTTTTGATAGCTAAACGCCAATTCTGCACAGTGTCTAAATAAATGAAGAACGGTTTCTCCAATTTATGTGAACAGTAGTAGCTGCTGCCAACAGATGCTCAGAGTGCACTTTATCTGGAGTACAAACTCAAAAATCAGATCACAAATACTGGAAGTCTGAGAGGCTCACAAGTATCTCAGATTCACATATCAGAATACATGAGTCATAAACTCGATTTACACAAATGGCAGTCTGTCAATCACATTTCCAGTCAGTTTGGTTTTAGCATATAGGCTTTGCTTTCAAAGAGATAGTCATATCAAATCTGGTGGTGGTTGCATTTCTACAAAGTCCTGTAGTACGTCTATTATTTACTATTTTCCCCCTAAGTAGGCTAAGCCAATTACCTCTAGACAACAGCTATGAGCAAACACTTCTCTTTCTTTGGCTACCTTCTTTTTGAAGCGTCCATGTTCTACAGCAGTTTCATATCCCTCGATAAATCAGACACATTTGTTTAAAGTTCTATGTGCTTTTATCTCGTTTCCCAGCCTGCTTGTCTCTGCTGAGAGTGTAGACCTCTTGTCTTGGCTTACCATTAAATAATAGAAGCAGTGTTTAGTAGATTTGAATTTTAGATAGAATTTTCAGACTTTTCCCAAAGGGTATGCTAAAGATTTGGGATGACATACTTCTAAGGAATTAAAAGCAGCATTTGTGTTTCATCTGTTTCTGATGGGGACAGTCAGCTACAAATTCCATTCCAGAATTAGAGAGGTGTACTAAACAGATTTTGTACAATCTTCCATACACAAAACAAACTGCTTAGGGAACTTGAGGAACTTTGAAACTGAGAAAACACCTTTATAAACAGACAGCAAATATACTGAGAACAAGGCAAAATTTTATCAGCATATAACAGTCTCAGACAATTAAAATCTTATTTGTCTTAATTATAATTATTTTATTCCAGGTATATCCTTATTGATCTTAATGTGATCACACTTAAGTTTCACTAGTATGTATTAGATCACAATCAGTCCCCTTAGATTTTAATTTCTTTCTATTACTTCAGAGAGCTTTTTGCACTCATTCTCTCAAGCTTTTCATTTGCTCACTTCCTATCAAAAGAACAAACTATTACACTGCCCTCAAACCGTTGTGATATAGTCGATAAAAGTCTTCCTTGGATATAGCATTATAAATTGGGATGCAAAATCCTGTACAAAGCAGGGTGAGTAATTAAGTAATTATTCTCTTTCTGGCTTTACAGGTGTACCGAGTGGGGAACCAGAGAAAACTGAAAAAGGTATTCAACAGAAAAATTGCTTATAAAGACAAGGGAGAACTTAACTGCCAGGCGATACCCTTCTGGAAGGCACTAGCCATGCCCATGCTCTTCTTAAATAAAAGTTTTGGGAGGAGCCATGACCTGCTCCCTGATCTGCCTCCTCTAGTTCACCTGGTTGCTGCCTCCATAGTCACATCTGTATGAAGCCCTCCAGCCCAGAGGCACATTTGCAGAACTCTGAACTTACCAAACCTACTTCAGAGTTCACAAGGTAGAAGGAAATTTTCCCTAAGGAGTGGGATGCAGCAGAATGGTGTCAGTTCTATCAGTAGCCTCTTATCAATGGTCTCCATAAGAAACACGCTAACATTCCTAATTTCCTCTTTCAGGTGGTCTGGAAACAATTGCACTGGTTGGAATAATTATTGGAATCATAGTTGCAGTTGGAATTCTTGCTGGAATAATAATTGCTGTTGTAAGGAAGATGTCAGGCAGGTACTCGTAAGTAAATTGCTAATCAGGCTTTTTGAAGAAGTATCATCCTCTGACAAAGGTCACAGGAATCACTTTGGAAATTTCCAATGCTTCTATTTTGACAAAATAACCTATTTTCATGTTACACAGTGCCTATTGATTCAGCAAAAGCTGCCACTGTGACGTGCGTGACCTAAACCCTCTCACATGCTTCAGAAAAATTTGCCGGATACTGCATACATGCTGTTATAGTAGTCATCAGGTGCATGGGTTTTGGATTACTTTACTGCAGAGGCAGAATTCACTATGAAGTATTACAGGACCAGCTTCTGGAAGTGCTGGATAACACGTGAATACTGACAAGTGATTTTTATCTTATTACGCTGAACATTTGTGGAAGCTGTTTTGGTACCAACAAGATTAATTGGTGCCATGAAAATCTGAAGTGCTTTACAAATTCCAAAATAGTAAGAAAATCGTTCTACATTTAATAAGTACTATTCATTCAGCATTAGGAGAAAGCAAAACAGGAACTGGGAAGAGAAATAAAGTGGTGACAAGAAAGACAAGGAGAGGAAGGAAGAAAGATCACGTAACTAACGCATTTGGGTAACTATGAACAATAAAATGTGTTTTTTGTTTTACAGGCCCTGAAAATAGTTGAAACAAGCAACCATGCCGTTCTATACCAGAAAATACAAGTGCTTCTTATTTTATAAGAACTAAAGACTATTCCTGTATTGGTGTGAGAAGATGATCCATGGAAAATATCAAAGAATTCCAGCTCTATGGGGATCCCACACAGCTCTAAGACTCTCCCTGCCCCACCTCCCCCCTGCCCCAGACTTCAGTATGGAACATTTCATAGGATTTTTATAACCAGGAGTTTTCTAGAAGAATGAAAAAGATTATGCAGTAAGAAAAAAAAAACCATCAGCAATGAGATTTACATCTGAAATGTGATTCGCAGGTAATATATGCTAGCTTGATTTTTAAACGCTACCAAAGATTATTTCACAGTACATTTTATGCATTTCTTTTAAAAAGATATCCAGAATCTTTTAAGTGTTTTTGGCTGGTTAAGTGCTTGTGGCATGTTTATCTACTGAATGATGTATCAAAAAGGAGGAATTAGCTTCAGAGAGAACCAATTATTTACAAATTTACTAGATATTGGAAGCTAAAATCTTTCCACTATTGATACATATCTTCTGCTCTTGATACTCATGTTATTATGTGGCAAAATATGGTGGGCCCAGCTGGAACTGACCTACCAAGTGAAAGCTTGCTCAGCTGACTGTTGCACCAGGAATTTCCTGTCTTCTCTTGTTAGAGACACGCAGGGATTGAAATACACATCCTGAGTTAAAGGGTGCTCGGAAAATACCCAATTTTGATGGGTCACTTTAACCAGATACTCAGCACGCTTTAGAGCTGACACGTAGAAGCTTTTGAACTAGCGTATACAATTTTTTTCTTTAGAACTGTCTCATTTTCTAACCATATAGTTGGCTTGATTTGATAACATGTGTGCGACACTAGATCAGGATATGTTAATGAGATATAATGCACCTTTGGACTCTACAGCTTTTCTATGCATATTTAGTGCAGCAGTACCTGAAGGCACAGAGTTCAGAGCACAGGCTTTTCTGTCAAGTGGCTGCAATGCATCATGTTTTCTAAACTTTAAGGCACTTAAGTGTTTGGTGTAAAAGTCATGATAATCCATATGGTCAGTAATTCTTAAACTTTTCCACTTATCTAGATTTGCTTTCCTGTTTCTTTTATTTGCCACGAACTATCATATCAATCCAGGCTTTAGAAATAAAAATTATAATGTAAATTGTCTTATTTTACAATAATTGTTCTGTGTTTTCTTTAAAAAAAAAACTTATAAAATGTTTTAAACTTCTGTCAATTTCCCTGAATTATTGTTGCCTGTCTTGTCCATGCAGTGTCTACAACCGACTCATTTGACACTGATAAATGAAAATATCATCAAAACTAAACATGTGAGAAAAAATAATTTAAAAATAATTTAGAAGTCTTTTTAGTGCAGTTCTTAAGCTTGTGTAATGGGGCCCTCAATCTGTGATGACCAATGAGCAGTAAGCTTTATTATCTTCAGACTGCTCTGTGCTGAGAACTGCAGACCAGATCCAAAGGCTGGGATTTCCAGACACATGTGAGCTTTTTTTGTCCCATCTATAAAAAGAAACTAGTTTTCTGAATTTACACTTTTTGTCAGTCTCAGAATTAAAGCATTATTTGGATACAAGGGTTTGGTTTGTAGCTCACTGTCAGTATATATAGTTGTCTCCAAACTGCTGAGCTTATACTCCTAATACTACTTTACCTGGAACAGTCATTCTCTTCCTTACCAAAGGAAGACTCTTAAACTAAAGTTTTCCCACAGGAATGACTTCACTCTTGAATAATTATTCCCATCACATTACAAGTAGTATCCACACGTAGGCAATTTATAATGAAACTGAAATACACTTTTGCTTTTATACCCTGTTTTGAGAGCCTGCTCTGATAAAACACAATCAAGGTTGTTATGTGTAGAGTGAAATTACGTATGCACCCACCCAAGGATGCAACTAATATTAAGGAATTTGCCATGTGTTTGGATTTAAGTACCAATTCCATGCAGTGAAACTTCAGGTACCAGAGCATATGCATCCCAGAATTTGTTCACACTAGTACAATACCATGGAATAATACATTCATGTGTCACCTCCAACATAATCTCATTTGGTTTATTTCTGCTTACACTCAAAAGCTGTGCATCCCTATATTCCTCCCAAGTGGCCTGTCCCTTTTTTGACATTCTCTAAACTTCCTTCTTCCATTTCAGTTTTGCCAGAAGCTCGTTGCTCATCCATGCAGGTCTCCTGCCCCTTTTGCTTGATTTCTTACCCATAGGGATGCATCGATCTTGAGCTTGGAGGAAGTGATGCGTGACTATTAACCAAGCTCTCTTGGACCTCCCTTCTAGAGCCCTAACCCATGGAATTCCTCCAAATAGGTCACTGAAGAGGCCAAAGTTATCTCTTTAAGTCCAGGGCTGTAATCCTACTTATTGCCCTGCTTCCTCCACGCAGGATCCTGGACTCCACCATCTCATGGTCACTGCACCCAAGGCTGCCCCCAACCTTCACATGCCCAATCAGTCCATTTTTGTTTGTTCATACAAGGTCTAGCAGCACACCTCTCCTCACTGGCTCCTCCACCTCCTGTGTCAAAAAGTTATTGTCAATGCTCTGCAGGAACCTCCTGGACTGTGTGTGCCTAGCTGTGTTGGATTCTGAATTTCTGGTATATTAAATCACTTATCTTTCAAGAAAGCAAGTCTGCAGTCTCTTACAGATGAGCACATGAGGTCCCATCACACACACCTTAATACACATTCCAATTCCTGTGACTCAGTTCAGTTGAAGACATTTGCCTTGTCTAGAAAGAGTTTAACTTTTCACCCTAGCATCCTTTGCCCCTGCACTTTTAGGTTACAGTATTTAAAGGGGGGCAGATTACTTCAGGTATTTTGTTTCCAAGCATCCATACACCCCACTGGTTTTTGAAAAAGAATTAGGACCAAGTTTCATCAATGACTGTTCTGTTTGCTCGTGTGACTCGTTTGAATTAGCTAAAAATGCATGTAAACTCATATGAAAGCAGGAAGATTACAGCTTTTTCTTACTGCAGCAACATAAAGAAATAGCAATTTCTGTTATTCTAGATTTAACAATTTCTTGCCTGCACTGGAAAGTACCCCGTAAGATGCACTTGATGTCTGACCGAATGCATGCCATATGGAATTATGAATTATTCAACCATTGTAGGGAATAGCACAGATGTCACCAGTTTCTTCTGCACCAGCTCAGTTGCTGCTAACTTGCAAATACCACAAAATGAGAAAACGGTTCTTATGCCTGTTCTGAATATTGGTTAAGCCAGAAGTGACAAGACCCCATTTGAAAAATGCATAGCATTAGAGCAGGCGACCTTTAGGGGAAGCTCTAAGTTTTCCTGGATCATGTACAGAACACCAGTTGAACAGCCTGCATTCTGCTCAAGTAAACTGTGCTTTACTTCTACTCCAGAATCTCTCACTAAGAGCCATTTTACCTTCATATACCAACTATCTAAGTTTTCTGGTCTTAACTGTGCCTTCATATTCTTCCCTCCAGTTTAAAGCAAGTTGTATTAATCTTAGGTGAAATCAACCCCTATCCAAATGGCCCATGCTCCACTGAAACATAATTTGGGGGGCTTCCAGCACTGGAGACTCAGTATTAAATATTGTGCTGTGCTAAATCTGAACCTGCAAAAATGTGAAGACATTAATTTCCTTCTGATTATCAGCTGGAGTACAGGATACTCAGCATATGGCTATAGAAAGCAAGGGCTCTGAGGAATCAGAAGACCTCTGTTATTCTGTCAACATGAAGAAACAGCAACTGCTGCTACACTGATACATTTGATACTCTGATGATTCATACCACCTTGCTGCCTAGAAATCTCAAGTGTAGAACATTCCATTCAGCTTCAAGCAAACCTCAAGAAACAATGGCTTCTTTATTAAAATCTTTGTCATATTTGTTATGTATTTATATGCTACTGAAGAATTCTTAATTCCCTTTTGTAACTTTGTGATACAAACGTTCTAGAAATATAGACTAAAAATCCATGCAGAGGTCTGTATTCTATATGCAAGCTACTGCAGCGTTCTGTGACTGAGCTTTCATTGACTTGTATTATCCAGCTTCCCATTACTGAGTCAGGACTTCAAAGGTAGGTTGAACACAAGCTACATGTTTTTTAGTAGAATTTATGTGGAAGATGGGATCTTTTCTGCTTTGCAAGAAGTCAAACAGCACATTGTCCTAGGGCAAATACTTCTGTAAGCTGAAATGAATGATCAGTATATATGCCTGCAGAATCAAGACCCAAGGTCAGGAGACTTCCTATGCATGAGAACACATCAGGAAACAACCGCTCCATACTTTCCCCAGCTGGACAGGTTTG